GCTTCATAATTCCTCGTTCATAGAAGAACCTGTCTTTATTTGCGAAAAACTGAACAAGGTGCTGATTTACAGCCTCATCTGAATTGAACGTTATACCACACAAGGAGTTTTAAAGAGAGCGAAACAAGTGGAAGTCTGACAGCGCAAGGTCAGGTGAGTATGGTGGGTGTGGCAACACATCCCATCCAAGCTCCAATCATTTTTGATGGGTGTTCCAACTTGTGTGTGGCCTCACGTTATCACGATGGAACACAACTCCTTTACAATGAACAAGCTCTGGACATTTCTGGATGATGGATTCATTGAAACTGTCCAATTGCCGACAGTACACATTGAAATTGATTGGTTCTTTGGTCGGAGCTCGAAAAACACGACACCTTTAAAATCCTACCACACTGAGAGCATAACCTTCCTCTGATGAATGTCTGCTTTCGATGTCGTTTGAGCGGAAGCATCACATTGGGACCAAGACCGTTTGCACACCACATTGTTGTAAACAATCCACTTCTCATCAACAGTTATCAGTCGCTTCAAAAAAGGATCATTTTCCTCATGTTTAATGAGCATATTGCAGATGTTTATATGCGCTGTCAAATGAACTTCTTTGAGTTTATGTGGAACCCAAATATCGAGCTTGCTTACGTATTCCAGCTTCTTCAGATGGTCATGAACGCTTGAATGATAGATGTTCAATGTTTCTGCAATCTCTTGTCTCGAGTAATGTGGGTTTGACTCGATCAATGGCTTTATTTTGTCGTCATCAACCTCGGTGGGCCTCTCTGACCGAGGAGCATGATTGAGATAAAAATCACCAGCACGGAATTTCGTGAACCATCATTGGCACTGACGCTCTTGTAGAGCATGGTCACTGTAAACTTTATGCAACTTTTCACAAGCTTGACACACATTCTTCCCTTTATGGAAGTAAAGCAGTAAAATATGGCAAAAATGCACCATTTGGTCTTCCATCTTCAACTTGCTGTAAAATCTCCAAAACTCAACCAAACTGATCAATTTTTTTTTAGAATGAAGCTAGAACTGTCAGCTGTCAAATGACATAGCAATAACATAGATGTGAATGACTATAGTACTTCCAAAAATGAACTAGTGCCATCTGTTGCAAACATGTGTCATGACTTTTCCAGCAACCCAGTATGATCAGGTAGGCCTTCCCGACAGTCAGGTAAACGTGGCTGGCCAGTTTAGATTCCCCGTGCTGAGTACTTTCCCGAAGTATGCTTTGTTTGGAAAACACTTTTTGGATTCTCTGCCACAGAATATGGTTAATCACTTCCCTGAGTGAAATTACATGAACATTAACAACAAACCTCCATTCCTTCCCCTTACACCTTCCGAAGTAGAGCCGTTTCCTGTCATCTTTCTTCAGCTCAAAGTGATTTTTACAAATAATTGCGAACAGCAAGGGGATCCAAGTTAGTGAATATGAGTAACTCAAATACCAGTGTCTTGCTACAGAGACTTCTGCACAGCTGTGACATAGGTTGTCAGCCATTACACAGATGAGGACAGTAAGGTCAGAGGCATTTAACCAGTATTTATCGCAGGCCAGGCCCTGGACACTGTGCGGTCCAGCAATAAACACAGGCGGAGCCGCAGTCCTTTCGGGCACCTGGGACTGTGGGATGTGACTTCAGGCCACCTGTCATGTGCGGGAGTCAAAGCATCACCTACAGCGATGTGAACGGGACACACATCCACACCAGGTGCGAGTGGCATCACCAGGTTGGGAGCTGACAGGGAATTCTTCTGATGGCCAAAAACAGAAGTGGCATAAAGGATGTCACTGCAGGAGCTTTTCTGAATTTCGACAAGCACCGCTGCGCCTTCACAAACTCAGCCCCGCTGACCTACGCAGCAGCAGCCAGCCTGGGCAGGAGTAGAGCATGGCGAAGCAGCAGCACGGAGACACGTGGATTTGGAATCCAATGGGGGACCTGCAAAGCCAGGAGCATCTGACAAGTCCCGGGACCCACAGGGACACAAGTGTGGCTGGAACTGAGTGAGTAAAAGAGCTGAAGAAGAGAAGGTGACATCAGAGGGGCACAGGGCAGTGGGCTGACATAGTGGCCTCCTGGGCACTGAAGGAATGGCAGCCTTTTGTCCCAACTTTACTGAGGTGCTCCTGACAAATAAAAATTCTGTTGTTTAAGGTGCACAGCCTGATGCTTTACATAAGTACACACTGTAAGACGATTACGACAATGACACTAACACAGACATCGGTCCCCTCACCTGGCTACCAGGGTTTTCACATGAGGTGAGAACACAGGTCTATTCACAGCAAGTTTCAGTGAGCCACACATCGCTACTAACTGGTCACCTGCTGTACGTTAGGTGCCCAGCACCTGTGCATCTGGGAAGTGGGAGCTGTACCCTCTGACCAACAACCCCAGCCCCCCGGCCCCTGGCACCACCGCTCCATGAAGGTCACTGTGAGTTCCACTGTTCAGACTCCACATATGCGTATGAGACCATGAAATATCGTTCTCTCTGCGTCTGGCTTACTCAGCCTACATAATGTCCTCCAGGTTATTCCGTGTTATCACAAATGGTAACAACTCCTTTTTGTGTAAGACTGAGTGATGCCCACTGTGTGCACACACCATGTCTCCTTATCCACCCATCCCTCCATGTACACTGAGGTTGTATCCGTGTCTTGGCTATGAATCACGTGCAGTGAACATGGGTGCACAGAGACGTCTTAGAGATGGCGACTGTACTTCCTTTGGACAAACACCCAGCGTGGGGTTGTCTGATGAGGACCTTGGCTTTACTCTTGAGTCAGACACTGGAGGGTTTTCAGCAAAGCAGACATGCTGCACGGTTTCCCAGGCTCGTTCTGTGCAGGACTGACGGTGGGCTGGGGGAGCCCGTCAGGGGCACAGCACAGTGTGGAGGCAGAGGTGCTTCAGAGAACTGCCGCAGCGGACAGGGAGGGAACTGGCCAGACTCCAACGTCTCTGAAGGTGCAGACAACTAACATGGCCCCACCTTTTAGAATTCACTTGCTGAATAAATGGGAAGAGTTGCCCTGTTTGGATGGGCAGAGAGGAGCAGGTGTGTGCAGAAGAGGAGCAGCCCCGTTTTAAGTATGCTGACTTGGGCCTCTAGGTGGAGAGGTCAAATGGGAACCTGAACAGGTACCTCTCCTGCGCTTCCTCACTCACTTCTCTATGCCGATGGGTCTGTAGTTGACCTTCCGAGCTGACCAGACACACCTCCCTGGTGGTGCTGACACCCGGGGCTTCCCCTGTCCCCACCGCCCACACGGCGCGTTGGGAAGTTACCACATGGACCCTAGGGTCATTTCTATTCCTTTTAGTGACAGTAGAGTTGAAACAGAGGAATATGCAACACGGGAAGAAAAATGTTTAAAATAAAACAAATGAAAGGGGTAAACTGCGGTCCATGGAAAGACATTTAGCATAGAATGAGAAACACAGTGACATTAAATATCAAGAGATAACATGTCACTGAATAGAAGAGTTGAAGTTCAATTTTTATCAACTGTGAAGAGTTTAGTCACAAATCAATATGACGGAAATATAATTGAGGACAAAAATTATACTTCTAAACAATCTCTTTCCATGAGCATCTCTGTTCTTCTCTCTCTCTCTCTCTCTCTCTCTCTCTCTCTCTCTCTGAGTCAATCAATCTGTCTATCATATAAAAATCTCTTATTTTATAAAAGAAAACCGCCATCTTGCAAAGGAAATGGGGTCCTACCCAGTACTTACTGGGCTTGGAGGGTGGGACGCCATTCAGCTGCTATTAACGACAGCCTAAAGCTGGGATGCTGAACTTCAGTCGCAACACTGCAAACAAAGTCCCTCCCTTGTCATCTGGTGACTTGTAGAATAGACAGAAAATATCTCATAAGCTTTTTAATTTTACTCCTTGCATCTGAATTTACTCATCTATTTAAATTGAATGGGAGATATCTAAGTAAGCCTCTCAGGGCATTTACAGAATTCAAAAATCTATTCATGGGCTTTAGCAAAAGCATTGATCTTTCCTGGACAGCACGGCGCTCCGATACATGCCACATCAAGTCCAAATCTGATTATCCAATCAAGGAAATAGAGTGCTTTGCTGGTTACAAAGTATATGGAATCCATATTTTTGAAGTATAGCCTCTGGTAGATAGAAAATTCTGTATCAGTAGGATTTTATAAATCCATAATTATTTATTGATTTGTGTCCACCAAAAAAAAAAAAGGGTGCATTATCTTATTTTTAAATGGGTATTAGAAATATGTGGTTAATACTGAAATGCTGACTTAAACGTTTTTTGGGGTTTTTTTTATTCATGTGTAAGATCAGTTTACCAATCCTGAGGGAGAATATTACTTTTTGGTATTACCCTATACTTTTCAATAGGATGTGACTTACTTTAATACACTGTTTATTGACGTGATTGTCTGAGAACCCAATGACATAAAAAGCACGTTTAGCTTCAGCTTATAACCTTTTAAAAAAATAAAATGAATTATGTAGATATAAATGCCTAAGAAAAACAGCCACACACATGAGATCGAAATGACAGCCTCATAGAGACTTAACTCCAATGGCTATCAGCAGACCCCAAAGAAAACAATCAGTATTCCCCCAAAATGATGCTGTCACGTGAGCTTATGGGGGTCCCATCAAGTATGCAAACCGCAGATGCCTAGGAGTGGTTACATGCTTCAAATTGTGCTTTTTTATCTGTCCTCAGCATGCGGCGTTTTCTTACCCCTACATGTCCAGGCATTCTGGCTTCTGCTGACAGAAATGCGTTCCCCAAACAGACAGTCATGGCGCTCTCCTGCTAGACATTGAAGCCCCTGTGTGCATGTATGTTTTAAGATGCTTTTTTGGCACCTTCTGACTGCGAGAGGTCCGGGAAGGTACCGCCTGAATGAATGAGCACTGGTTTTTCTAAAGCGACACTGCAGACACTTGACCTATTGTTAAAATAAAAAACTGCAGCCTCCTACCTTAAAGACGAACATCTCCCGGCGGAGAATGGCAAGAGTGTTGAAGTCCCCATCGCAGATGTTGGGTTTGGCTCCCGGGTAGGAAGGTCGGCCCGTGGGTGGCCGGGGAGGCTTGGGCCGGTCATTCTTCCGAGGGTCAGCTGGAGGAACGGAGCGGTGTGGGGGCACCGTCGGCAGAGGTCTTGTGGGCGGAGGGGTCTTGTCAGGTGGCCCTTGGGAACAGGAGGACAGCTGTTGGCTCACGTGAAGCTGGGACAGCACCAGAAAGTGTACTTCATCGCACAGGCTAAGTGAGCTAGAGGTCGCTGAGACCACATGTGTGCCGGAAACAAGGCGTCTTCCCAGCCAGCCATGGCCGAGTCTGAGGAACCGCGCTCACCACGCTAGGTCCTGGATCCAAGGAGCGAGCCTTTCTTGGTTAATTTTTAACAATATTTTTTATAGCTTCCCCACAGTCCTCATTGGAAAAGCTGCTTTGAAATCTTTTTTTGGAAGTAGGTGGTGTATAAATAATAAATAACTGAAAAGGAATATAACATATAAAGTGCACCAAAGTGAACTCTGGATTTTGATAGGCACTGAGCCTATGCAAATATTTCTGAAAGATTAACATAAACAGATCAAAGCTTATTCTACCTTCTGTCTCCAATTATATTTTATAACCTTTTCCCGACTTTCCTTATTTTCTTCTAATGAAATGTTTTGATAAATTGCTAGGAGAGTATTTCACGTGAATATTGAATCTAAGTCAGCTATTGATTAAAACACCACTAGTCAAATATTAATATGAAGAACTGCTTCTAAAAAGAGGGTTCTAAGTCAAGCCAAAGTTTGCACACGGAAGTTGGTGCCGAGGCAAAGTATCATTTGGCCAGGCGTATGTCTTCGGAAAGAAACACAGAAGCTGTTCACACTTAACGTTTCAATATGGAAAGAATATTCTTTTCAGGCCTTCAGTCTGGACTGCTGGTTCAGGAGGTCACAGGAAGGACCCTCCTTGCAGTCTCCTCGGGAGGTGCTTAGGCAGAGGTCTGCACAGCTCTCTCCAGCTCTGGGCCCCCACATCTCTTTTTCCGCATTTCCCCCCAAACAAAGAGCAGTGCGACAATGCACCTTATATTTCCAAATCTATGTAAACCCTGTAAGAGCACTTACCACTGAGATTCAAACTAAAAAACGCATTCGTGAACTTAAACTCTGCTACTCAAAAACGCAAACACCATCTTCTGGTTACTGGATACCAACATTCAGAGAGCAGCACACTTGTAGTGTAAAAGGAAAGCTTCACTTCATTGACTGAGTAAGGCTATTCTCTATGTAGAAATTATAAATGCCAAGAACTTAACAATTACATGTGCAATAAATGTCTTTATAAAGGTCAACCGTTCTACTGAGGGAGTCAGGATTATAGTCAATACGGGAACAGTCTCTCTCCCTTTTGTCTTCATGTGCATGTGCTGACTGAACACCATAAATAAAAATAATTTTGCTGCACTAGAGCTTCATTTTGACTTATGTTAGTAAACTTAGCCAATTGTTGCCTGTCACTCTCAGTCAATAACTACACGCTTTCGAAGTGATTCAGTTACATCCATCACATGCGGGTGTTTTCTACTACTTCAAAAGCAATTTGTCTAGGAACATCTAATGTCAGCCACCACTGCCGGAGGCCAGTCTGTCAGCTTGTACCAAAGGACATACTGCTTTCATTGGTTATATTCATTTATTACGCATTGTCACCTGAACTTAAGCACTAAAGCTTATCAGATCTTTGTTGTAACTATTGGTTTCAACTAAACTTGATTAGAAAATGCTTTCTAATCTATCTACTAAGGGATCTGGGACTGTTGCCAACAAAACCTGACTGATTGAAGACTTTTGCCAACAGGCCAGGTTTTCTCATTCGGGACCTCCCTCTTTGACAGGAGAGCCCCTGTCCCGAAAAGACATCATGGCAGGGATTCTGGGATTCCGTGGGGTGATGCACACAGAAACGGCATGGCCTACCATAGATCTTCTGGATGCCCTGTAGGTCGTCGTTGGGCAGTTTGAAGCTGTCAGTCTCCATGTACTGGTAGAACGGGGCCATGATGGCGGTGGGGTCGTTGGAATGCTCCAACCCCAGGGCATGTCCCAACTCGTGAACTGCCACGAGAAACAAGTCATTGCCTGTGCAAAGGAGAAGATGAGACACGAATGTCACTGACATCCAAGTACAGAACCAATACGGACAGTACACAACCTGGTGCTACCAACATCTTTCCTGAGAAAGAGAGGAGAACATCTTTACTTCAACTAGCGCTATGATTTCCGCATTGCATTTACGCCAGCAAAATCGCACAGGGGGTGCGGCTGGGACAGTGTTGATAATGAAGTCACAGAAATGTGGAAACTGAAAGTGAAGAACAGGGACTAAAAGTTGAAAAAAAGACCAGCGCATCAGAAGTCGCACTGCTGTCGAAATACCCTTCCGATGACAAAGCACGTGTGGTGCAACTTCTCACTTTTACGACATCCTCACAGACCCCATTCTAACAGTGACAGGGTGAAAAACAGAGGACAGATGCAACCCCTGCTTTTATATGGATGAGAAAATGCAGGCAAACAGGGGACGCGTCTTGTCAACAGCAAGTTGAGACTAGGACTCAGCGTATTATTTAGTTACTTTTCCTGCTTACATTATCTTTTTAAAATTTTTATTTCTCCATTACAGTTGACATACAATATTACATTAGTTTCAGATGTACAACATAGTGGTTAGACATTTACATACCTTACACAGGGAACCTCCCCTCCACCCCCCCGTCCTGTAAGTCTAGTCCCCACCTGCCACCATACATAATTATTACCATATTGTTGACAATACTCCCTGTGCAAACTCAGGTATCATACGAAGGCTTCTTGTTCTCACTAGCTGGACTATAGGAATACTGTTGTGTAGGCTAGCAGTCATAATAACTAGGATTCTAGTCCTCATTCTGTAAACACAAATTCTAATCAACTCAATGGTAATCTGAACAAAAAAATATTAGGTTGGTGCAAAAGTAATTGCAGTTTCGGACCATGAATTTTAAATCATTATAACTAGGCCCAAAGATATCTTTATCAATCAAAATAGGAACCATTACAATCAATACATTTTTGCCAATGAGAAATAAGTTTCTTTATTCCTGTAGCATAAAAATCCATGCTTCGGGATTTGACAAACTCTTGGAAAGCATTTTCTGCATCCTGCTGCCTGTGGAAGTGTTTTCCCTGCAAAAAGTTGTCGAGATGCTTGAAGCAGCGGTAGTCAGTTGGTGAGAGGTCAGGTGAATATGGCAGATGGGTGGCCATGGGCATTTTCAGACCTAGACTATCTATTAATAACACCATCTCTAAAGTGAGCACCTGCGGATCTCAAATCAGACACATTTCTTAAGATGCGGCTTCTTGGTCAGAGTCCCAGTGCGGCTTTACAGGGGTCACATCTTCCTTTTATGCTTTCCACTCATCACAGCCTCCTTCCTCAGCTAGCGTGTCCCCTTCCCCAGGAAGCAGGCGCCCTGAATGGTGTCACTGGGGAAGCGTGCAGGGTCACCCTGTTCTCAGGCAGGGAGGCAGGGCACTCAGTCACTATCGACCTCAAGGACCCTGTGGAGTTGGGCAGGGCACTTCAGATCTATCACAGAAAAATCTCTTTCAGTCACAAATAATTTTTTTTTCCTAATAAGAGGAATACAAAAGGCCAAAGCATAAAACGAAGTAATAAGAGCAAAGGTGATTCCATGCCACGGATCTGTCCTCCCCAGATGGACCCAGTGTTCCCAAGCCCATCTCCGAGGGTGGGGGGGGGGCGTCCTTGTCTGCGAAATGAAGTGGGGCTCGGGGGAAGTTAGCGTGGTTTGGAATTGAACCTCTGACCCCTGGAGTTGGCCAGGGCACTTGTAATCAGAAATACTGGCCAAGGGCTCCAGGCAATTCTTCTTCTTCAGATGATTGGCAATAATATAATTAAACCTGACTTGCAGCCTCACAGTAGTTTAAAAGGGTATAAGCTGTTCCACGAAGCACTATCCTGTGATTTGCACCCCACTAGGAACAGAAGTTGTTGGCACACAATGGGTTTTAGACAAATAAAATGCAGCAGCCCCCACCAGTAAAAAAGAAAAAAAATGCCAGAAAAAATAAAATAAACTAAAATACAGCAGCCCTCCTTCCCAAGAATGAAAACCCTCACCGCTCCGGTAACTGATCATTAATTCACGTTACACGAGGCTCTCCACTGCGATGCGCCTGAGCTTATCTGCACACAGGCCACAGAGGACAAACCAGCCCCTGCTTAGCGCAGAAACATTACTTGCTCCTTGGGCAAGGTTTTTGGTTTTGAGCTTGTGGCTTTCAATGGTGCCTCTAATCTTCTTTCCTTTGCATACTGTAACACGATTTCAGAACACCGAACGGCATATAATGAAAGATAACGCATTATTTATAATTTCCTTGTCATAATTATGTCTTTATGCTTTACGCTAAGCTCTTCCGGCCCTCCATGCATTTTCATATGCTGTTGCCTCTGCTGACAACATATCCTGAATGTTAAAAAATGACTGTGTAATATTTCATACATAAAAACTGCCATAAATAATTCTAACATTTACAATCCTCTAAACCTATTCGAACACTAGAATATCACCAGCTCCACTGAGTCTCTGTCTGGTTTCTTGTCTGTCAGATCGTTACTAACCTGAGTTCTGAAGTTCTGCTTCCCTTGCTTATATTTTGATATTTTCAGGCACTTAAACTATAAGGTCTTCCAAAAATCAGCAGAAGTTTTCCAAAGCTATACTACTATGACATTTCTAGTTTTTAATTTAATGAGTACTCTAGAAAAAACCAACACAATAAAAATAACTCAGGTCTGTGCCAGCCAGGGGAGGGGGCTTTCAGTGTTAACAGACGGCAGAGCAACTCCCAGCAGCGATTTGAACTCTGCACTCTTCTCCTGTGTGTGAACGTGAGCGCTACTTTATCCATCTCGATGCTGAGACACCTGGCATAGCGACCCCGCTGTTATGTGCCACCATCTCCAGACCAGCGGCCACTATGCAACGGAGACGCTTTTAACAATTACCAGTTACCTCCAATGTGCAAGGAACTATTTGTAGAATTACCAAACCACGGATACGCACTTTGCCTAACATGTGATCGATTTGTGTGCTGTCTGCCAGTCAGCACGAAGTGCCGGGGGCTTTAAAGATCAAGTCCCCGAGTCCTTTGTCCTTAGCTGGGGGACTGAGATTTAGTTCAGCGACTCTGAGCTCTTTGGGGTTCATGTGCTCCTCAGAGAATCAGAGAAATTGAGGAGCTTCCCCCCAATGAATGCATTAGCACGGTATTGCATGTGATTTTCACGGCAGTTTTATTCTACTTACATTAAGACAGAGAGGATTTAAAGCCCTCTCTCGGCTGCTGTCTGCACGTGGGTAAGGAAATCACTAGCTTCTCTGTGACCCAGGCCTTACCTGTAAAGCGGGTGTCAGGTCACCTCCTCCCAGGGCATTGGTGGGTTAGCTCAGCGTGTCCGTGACACACTCAGCACAGTGCCTGGGACACGGCTCCACGTGTGAGTGGGATCCCTGCTCTCGCCCTGGGACTAAAAGACCCACGACTTCCGAGTTAGACGCCATGTTCTCCCCTATAATTCACGTTAATGAGGTTACAGACCTGGCTGCTTAGGTAGGGAAACTGTCTGTTTACAGGGGGAAAAGGCAAAAGCAACAAATAGAAACAGTGCCCTGGACCCTTGTCTTTGCATAGAGGTGCATTAACAAATTACAGACTGCTGTGTTTTGATAAAACATTAGGATATAAGTCAAACACCTACAGCCAAGGAGCCAGGCTAGTGACTCACTCAGACCTGGCGCTCTCCCTCTCGGAAGCCTGTCCCCACAAGGACCTGTTTCGTTCAGCAGGTGGGGTTCCTCATATTCACTTTGTAGAGGAGCCTCTTCACCTTAAGCAGCCCTTTCTTCCTTAGTCGAGCAATGGACTTGACGTGTACATTAATGTGGCACATGGGGACACAATCAGGGGACTCACGCGTGGCCTGCTGGTCACATAACACATTCTGAACCGTATTTGTGGCTCTTCAAAAGGACGTGATGCCACCTCAGTGTCACCCAAGTGTCCTCCTTATCTGCCCTCTTTAAGCTTGTCTTTAGAGCAGTGAACCAAACGGGAGGATGAAAATGAAAGCAAGAATAAAAGAACATTTCTCTTTTTTAATAAAAGAAATGCTTTCATCCGGCCATGAGTTATTCAACACAGGTGTAGCAGAGGAGCTTGTCTCCTTTTTATTTGTAAACAAATAATTGAAATGTCTGGGTTTCAGCTCAGAAATTGGCAGGATATTCTGTTGGCAATGTGCTTACAAATTTCAAATGTTCTGAAAAATGGTTTCTTTCTAGGATACATGAATTGGAAGAAAACTGTAACGTAAGTATCTTGACACATTTGTGTGTGTGTGTGTGTGTGTGTGTGTGTGTTTTGTAAGTGAAGCAATGAATAGAGCACCTATGCTTCATGGCTTTTACAGAGTCTTTGAAAATAAATTCATATAGTAACTCACTGTAGGCTTGGCAATTTCTTCCAGCAGACAGAAAGACTTAAAAATGTATTAGAGATACTGACTCTAAAAAAAGGCAAGGCATGTAAATTCCTGATTTGAGATTTCTTTTACTACTAATTATCTATTAATTGCAAAAGGCCTAATAACTACGAAGCAGTGCCCCCTTCACTGCAGGGGAACAGAAAGGACCACCAGTAGGGCTTGCCATGACCCGGAAGTTAATCCTTACAACGACCCCCGTGAGGGTCACGCTGACCTCCAAACAGCAACAGAAGCAGCAAAGGTTTGAATTCAGTAACTTAAAAAAGTAAAAATCAGCAGTTGCAAAACAGGGTGATGTAAAACACAGCATAGGAAATACAGTGAACGATACTTTAAGAACTCTGTAGGGTGTCAGTGGGGACTAGACATTTCGGGGATCACTCCGTAAGGTACAGGAATGTCTAACCACTAAACTGTACACCTGGAACTAACAGAACGTTGAATGTCAACTGTAATTGGAAAATAATTTAGCTGGCAAGTGGCACAGGCAAGTTTATATCCAAGTCTTTTGTCTGTGCTG